AATGTTAGAGCTAAGATGTACCTGATCTGCAAGGGGAGTGCATTCAGCTGCTGGGCCATTATGTTTGCCAATCAGCAGGTGGCTGGAAATATTTTCACGCAGCATTTTTAAAGACAGAGCTGGACACAGGCATGGACAAAATGGGCAGGTGCCCAGGGCCCAAACAGGGGGCCTGAAAAATCGGAATTTTTTTTCTGTTGTCTGATTATTATTATCATCATTATATCTGGAGAAGGGGGACCTGATACTAAAAGTTTGCCCGGGGCTATCAAGAATCTAGGTAGGGTGCTGTTTAAAGGTTGAGATTTTCAACAGCACCTAAGAGCATCAGATGTCTAAGTCTCACTGAACTTTACTAAGCCACCAAGCCCCTTTGGAAGCCACGGTCCTGCTGTAGAAAGGCAGGCCCAGCAGGAAAGACAGTCCTTTCCATGGAGCGTGTGTCCAACTACATTCTACACCCAGAGCCAGGTTCAGTCAAATGCATATTCAGACATTTTAGGCAGAAATAATCATCTTTCCTTCCTCTATCAGGCCAGCGTCCTGTCCTGGCCAACACTCATCTCTGGCAGCCCTTCAACCTCACCAGTGGGCAGATGAGGCTCTCACGGTTGTATACAGTCCCCCAGGTGGCTATGCCAATGGTGATGATCTCGCCTTCTTTGTAGCTGCTGTTCATGCTGAAGTCTCGTACAGCCTCCCCCACCAGCTTCATGACACCAGTGTGCGACCCACCCGTTATGATCCAGGCACCTGCAGGGACAGAGCAAAGGTTGGAAAGGCCAATACTCTGCCCACAGAAACCTCAGTCTGTCAGCCTGGGATTTAGAGCTTTCCCTAATCCAAGCTCTGGAGCCTTCCTCCATGGTCCACAAGGGACCCCTCTTGGTAGCAGGATCAGATCCCAGGGGAGTGCTGTAATGGTTAGGCTACAGAGGCAGGCTCCCTCCTACTTGCTGTCCTTCCAGCCCCATGACTTTTGTATTCATGGCTTTCCAGTGGCCCTGCTTCCCTGGAAAGGGTGGAAAGTCCCTGATGGTAAAGGCATTCATTGGGAGATACAAGATCTGGGTTCAGACCCCCTCAGGCTGAGGAAGGCCAAGAACCCAGGTCTCCCAGTTCCTGAGGAATTGCTCTTATCACTAGGCTACTGGTCAAAAGGCGAGTGTCACCAGCACCAACATGTTCCTGACCTCAGAAGTGAGGTTGGATGTTCCAAATTTGCAAGTGAACGGAGACACCTAATGGACAGCATTGGTCCAGCACCTGCACTCCTGAGAGGCAGAAGTTCAAATACTGCCCTAAGCTCACCCATCTCTGGGGCCTCCTGGGCTTTCTGATCACCTCAGAGGTGCCTACTGCTCCTCACTCTCTGCATACAACCCTTCAGCACCCAAACCTGAACTGCTCTTAGTAAGTTCCTTCAAATCTTTCCTTTGATTGGGTAAGGATCTTAGGTGCCTTGACTGGCCACACTGAATTGCTGTCCAAAGCAAAGAGCATGATATGTGAGTGTTGTAACACCCAGGGGGAGGCACCTAAGCAACTACTTTGAATCTGGCCTAAATGTTTTGTAGATCCATAGAGGGCTAAGAGGCGATTGGAGTAGAAGCATCTACATGAGGAGAAGATTTTTGTTGGTAGTGAGCCTCAAAATCTAGCAGGCAAATGCAGAACAAGACCTGCTGGAAGCTAACATTGCAGGTTTGGCCCAAAAGAAATCTCATGAAGATCAACAAGGACAAGTGCAAGGTCCTGCACTTAGGACTGATCAATCCCATGCATCAGTACAGGCTGGGGGCTGACTGGCTGGGCAGCAGCTCTGCTGACAAGGACCTGGGGATTACAGTGGACAATAAGCTGGATACGAGTCAACAGTGCATCCTTGTTGCCAAGAAGGTTAATGGCATTCTGGGCTGCATTAGTAGGAGTGTTGCCAGCAGAGCGAGGGAAGTGATTATTCCCCTCTATTCTGCACCGATGAGGACACATCTAGAGTCCTGTGTCCAGTTTTGGTCTCCTCCACTATAGAAAGGATGTGGGCAAGTTGGAGAGAGTCCAGTGGAGGGCAACCAAAATGGTTCGGGGGCTGGGGCAGGTGGGTTTATTTAGTCTGCAGAAGAGAAGACTGAGGGAGGATCTGATAGCAGCCTTCAACTCCCTGCAGAGTAGTTCAAAAGAGGATGGAGCTGGACTGTTTTCAGTGGTGGCAGATGACAGAACAAGGAGCAATAGGCTCAAGTTGCAGCAAGGGAGGTTTAAGTTGGATATTAGGAAAAGCCTTCTCACTAGAAGGGTGGTGAAGCACTGGAGCAGATTACCTAGAGAGGTGGTGGAAAGTCCCTCCTTGGAGGTTGTGAAGGAACGGCTCAACAAAGCTTTGGCTGGGATGATCTAGTTGGGACTGGTCCTGCTTTAAGCAGGTGGTTGGACTAAATGTAACCTCCTGAAGTTCCTTCCAACCCTCATTTTCAAGTAGAAATGAGATATAAATCAGCAAGGGGAATGAACCACTGGAAAAGACTGCTAAGAGAAGTGGTAGATTGTTAAATGTCTTGTCATCTTTGTAACAGATGCCCTCTAGTGCAGAGAGATAAGGACTTGAAGGAGGAATCCCTGGGACCCAGGAAGGGGGTGGGGGGCAAGTAAAGGCTCTCCCTGGTGCTTTCCCAAAGGGATAAAACAAGACTCTCTTCTGTCACAGTCTCAGGAGCCCTCGGACCCTCCCAGCTGCAGAGAGGATCAGGGCCTTTCCCCAGGGGCTCTGCACCAGAGGGCTGTTTTACCTGTTGTCTGGGCCACTTTGACAAGGCCCCTCCGGAAGATGTTCTTCAGTCTCTGCTTCATGTTGAAGTTTTTAGCTCCGCCCGTCACAGAGATTAACAGGTTGGGAGGGTCCAGGCCCCAGTGCTGGGTCATCAGGTGGTAGATGATGCGCGGCGGGGTGTCGGAGGAGACACGCACATACTGTGGGTGGGGGAAGAAACGTGGGGAGAGAGAGGGGAAAAAAAGAAAAGACCAAAAACCTGTGTGCGCTACCAGATCCATCCTGAAGTAAAGCCATCCTGGAGCTTGGCCAAGCCAGCACAGGAATAAAATTTACCTTTCCCCCAAGGAACCAGGGCAGAACAGCCCTGTCCTTTCCCCACCCAAACCCTTACCTAGAAGACCCAGGTGGCACTGAGGGCAACTTCTCCCTCCACCCTGTCCACCTCCTTAGAGACAGCTCAAACTGCCCTCAACAAAGTCACATAGTACCCAGCCCCCAGCTCCTGTAGAAGAGGCTGGGATGACATGTAGTGTATGCAGCTGCTGATTCAGTGCCGAATGCACAGGTGCTTTCTTCCTGACTCAGAACAATTAGGATTTCTCCCTCTAATGGCTCCCCTGGAAGGGGCACACAGTAGATTTCCCTTCCAATGTTCACCTGCTCACTCTTATTCTCTCTCTCCAAGTCCCACCACATGGTCGCACTCAGTTTTGGGGGTTGGTCTTGGTTTCTCCCACCAACATAGGAGTCAACCTCTAGAAACATGGGGCAGGGGAACCGGAGAATGTCACACACCGAACTGTGATTTCCAGGCTGTGAGGCCCAATTGGAGGCTTCATAGGAGGCCTCAGGTCTGAGACCTTGCTCTGGGCTTCTTCCCCTGCCCCTGTGAGCTCAGGACTGGGTGAAATAAGTGCTCCCATCCAGGCCCTCCCTTTCTCTGGTCCCTTTGAAGCAGCTCAGTGCTTTCATCGGAGGCATATTTCATCAGGCAAGATGGCAGGGTTTAAATAAGGGATCCCAATCCCTTAGACATCAGAGGGGACACCCACCTTCCCCACCTTCTGTCCCAGGCCTGTGAAGCTGATCTCACCAAATGCATCTGTTGGCATTTCCTGGACATGATTCCGGGGGTCCCATTCTTTTCCCAGTAAAATGGATGCCTTTATCGCATCTTCCAGGTGCTGTTCCCTAGGGTAGCCACATTCACACACCACCTTCCTGTAAAAGAAGCACCATCTGCCTGAGAACAAACAGGCATGGAAGGGGAGTGCCTTCCAGTCAAAGCGCGGATGCAACCTTGGGTAACGTGGGATGGGAAGCGGGGGCATTTCCTTTACACATGCAAACACCAATGCCTGGGAACACTCTGCTTGCGACCCAGAAGTCACCCGGGTGAGAAGACTGTCCAGACTGGAGTGAAATGATAGAAAGGAATTTCCATCCTGTGGGAAACTGACTTGTTTTAAATCCCAAATCCAACTAAAGAACCAACATGGCAACAAGGTCTCTGGAATGCAACGTTCCAAATATTGATTTGGAAAATTCAAAATGTTCCTTTCCGGTCAGACCAATGTGAAATCGGCCCAAAGGAATTACAGTTCTAAGTACTTTGTGCCACCTTGCTCCCTAATGGCAAGGCTGGCCAGACAGCCTCTCCCAGATGTGCCCCAGGTCACAGCATCTCTGGTCAGGTAATCTGGACATGAAGCCCAGCCCAAAGAAGAGAATGAGGGCAGGAGGCACCTAAACATAGCACTCCTGTGAGGCAATGTGCAACCATAGGAAAGAGCACGCAATCCACAGCAATGTGGCATGTCGATTTTAGTTTCAGAAAAATCAAAATTTTCCCAGAGGAAACTTCTGTCTCATAGGGACAGAGGGATGATCAGCTAATATCTCCGTTTTCCACCAGCTCTGGTGCTGAGTGTCCTGGAAAAAAGCTAAGAGCATGTCATCTGCCCCTTGAGCAGACTGCAATGCAGTCACATGCTAGATCAATGTTGCCTTGACTTGCCTGCCATGGGAGTGGCAACCGGAAAGCAAATACGAGGGGGAAAACGGCAAAGCATTTAACTGACCCAGAATCCGACGCTTGGGAGCTTTCAATGAAGTATATGCACTCCTTCTTCCGGATGTTTTCAGGGATCCACATGCCAAGATTCCCCTGTGGGATAGAGAGGAGGAAGAGGAAGGAGCCAAAGACTAGAGAATACATGTTCCTACATTTGACTGACACTACTCAGGGTACTTCACTGACTCAGGGCAAGAGAGCACAGGAGCTCCTAGTTCACAGATACAGAAACACAGGTCATGACAGCAGTGGACCCAAGAGGAACCCAACACCCCTTTGGTAGGTTTTCAGCCTGGACACTGCGTGCCAGACAGAGTAGATGGTGCCCAAAGCTAAGGCTAGGCAGACCCAAAGGATCAGGAGGCATCACAGGGCATAGAGTCCAGCAGAAGCCCCATCACAAGGCTGGGAACAGAGGGAGATTGAGGGTCTCCCAACCTGTTTTCCAGATAACCTACTCCTGAGCTAGTGGCACTCTGCTCCATCTCCATTAACCTCACTCCTAAATATAGTGAGTCACTCTGCTAGCTTCACCCTGTCTGCAGTGCAGGGTGGACTTACCTTTTCATTGGTGCCCATGGGACTGGGAGATTTCCTCCTGCCCTTCGAGAGGCCGCTATTGCTGTGCCTGAGGTTGGCAACCATGTCCAAGTCGCTCATTTTCTTAAACTGCACGGTGAAGCTGCCTCCTCGGTCTGGGCAGGGTTTATGCAGTTTGGGGGGAGTGTTCTGCCTCTCCCAGCCACGAGATGAGCATCTCAATACCCTCAGAGCTGTTTCTCATGTTTCTAGGCTGAGAAGTCTAAAAATCTTCATCCTGAACACAAGCCAATAGGACAGGATGAATGCAAATCAGAAACACCAGGAAACTCCAACTGGTGCTCTCTGACACAAAACTACTATGTAGTGTCAATGCCCCCAAGTCTTCACTCACATCTCAGCATGCTTTAGGATTTCAGTTAGCTAAGAGCTGGGACTACCTCACATTTTACACAAAACTAAATTCATCTGCTGCTTCCTTACAACAGACTCCTGGGATGAGGGAGGTCCTGATGCATCAGCATGTTTAAAAAGCATGTGTTTAGCCAGTAGCCTATGTGCTTTTTAAAGCTCCAGGTATGTGTAGAGCCCATGATGGAACAACTCCCTGATTCCAAACTTCCCAATGCCAGGTTCCCCGAGCCCCAGCAGTTGCATGACAGGATTTGAGGAATTTTATCCCAGATACCAAAAACTATGCAACCTGCCATGCCAGATCTTGAACATCAGACATGGCAGAGCATGTGGACATGGAATAAATTAATGTTTGCCTAGGTGTACACCCACATATGTGCTCATTTCTCTACCACAGGTGGCTGGCTTGAAGTTTTGCTTGTCTGTTCACCCTTCACATGTGACCTCAAGAAACCATCACAGACCATCCGCCACTTCTGCCACTCATTAGCCATAAATGCTACCGTCCTCCTCATTAGCCTTGGGACATCAACCACAGAGTCCACGTCCCCTACTCACATTAGGAGATCTCAGCATTTTGCACCCAAGGACCAGAAGTAGCACCTTTCCCCCAAACCATTATCCCATCCAATAGGAAAATTCCAAGTCTGCCTCTCTATTTGCTGGAAAAAAAAATGTCCTTAACACAGAGTTAAGGCTGCCCTGATGCCCTTCCAGAAGGCTGACTCCAGTGATACTCAGACTTCTGCAAACCAGGAGGTCCAGGTAGAACTCGGGTTCAATAGCCAACGCAGGTCTTTTGGGCCACCCAGGTCATGTAACCACAGGCAGCCTGAAAATCTGCCAGTGTCTCTTTGGGACAAGAGACTTCAGCACTGACTGATCTGCAAGAACCTTATCTTTTAACACAGATTTCAATCTGTCTTCCTTAATGGAACGGCAGGTGACTTGCACTAGCTCAGACATGACAAGTAGCTGAGAGTGCTGTGGGGGGGAACAACAAACAGGGCTCTGATGTGAGCTCTGTTGTTTGGGCGCAAAAAAGACAGACTTGGTTAATTCCATAAAGTGCTGTTATAGGTTGGGGGCCTGTATCTCAAAAACTGTTGGATGAAATGACCCCGACAAACCCTAACTCTCATCCTCATGAAGCAGGATAAATTTCATGACAATCCAAATAATCATGGAGATTTTAGAGCATCCTTTAAAGGGCTGGGCCTTTTCTACCTGCCCTACAGGAGACCTGGCATTTGTATGAAAATGGTCAGAGTTTTCCTGACTATTTCCAGATCTTCTGCCAATGATCCTGAAATCAGCAGGTGGGGAGGGAGAAGGGAGGTGTAGCAGGCCAGAGGGATGAGGCTCTGCAAATCATCTGCAGCACAGGAGGCTTGGCTCAGATAGGTTTGATGTGGTCCTCACCTCACTTTGGTAGTTCAAATGAACAAGAACATCCCATGGAAATGCACAGCACCTAGCTCTGAGAGGTGTCACCTACTCCATTTATCCATTGGGTGCATGCTCCCAGCTCTCCTGTTCTCCATGCAGAGGGGTGAGGCTTCCCCAGATGGGGTTGGGGAAGGGAAACAGAAAAAGGAACTCAGACACGACCTCCCAAATCCTGCAACACAGAGGAGCCCAGGGGAGGGTGTTCAGACCACCAAGAATCAAACATATACACCACTGGGAGCAGATGTGCTTTTGACAGGCCCCCTACCCCTAATCCTTTCCTTTCCTCTATACCCCAGCCCATTGTTTCCCAATCCTTCACTATCACCCATCCCCATTTATCCTTCTCCTCAAACTCCACACCTCTACTACTCTGTCCCCCTACCCTCCCTCCTCTCCCAGCAAACACTGGCCTGTGTCATTTATTTTTGTTTTTTAAAACAGCACAGCTTCTGAATTATCGTCTGCCCTTGAGTTACATTCTCCTCCCACTTCAAGACATCCCACACTAGATGATAGCAATGTACCTACAGCTTTCTGCAGAGGTTCATGTTCAAGCTAACAAATAGCGGGAGAATATTGCAAACTGAAAGAGCACTGCAGACTGCCCCAGGCCAGCTAGGTCATGGAAGAACTGCCTGGCTAGAAGCCTTTTTTGGCCAGTCTTTTTTCATGTGTGCCTAGGTTAATCCAGAGAGCCCAACTCTTTAAATCTCATTTTCAGCAGAGCTGTAGGAGCCCTGCATTAATGAGGATAAATGTTGAACTGAGATCCATTGGGGAATGACTGCAACTGTGGTTTGAGACCAACAGTATTCTAGAAAAGCTGGTGGGATGTGCATATGTTAGGAAACATGCATTTTTCCAGAGGGCTGTATCCCCCCACCCAAAAAAAAACAAACCACAAAAAAAACATTGCTCAACAGATCCTAAATTTGGATTACTGGCTCTATGCCCCCTTCCATCCATGAGCCACACCAAAAGTGTCAAGAGAAAGTATGCTGATTTTAGAGCACTTAATAGGGTCATTGTTATATTTAAGAGGCTTTAAGAACTTCTCCATCTTCCCTGAAGCAGGGTGTGACAGGGGGGGCTGGGGTGCACCTGCCCCTCTAGGAGGGCAAGCAGACTGACAGGGGCTTCGAGGTGGCAAAGAGGGCTGATTAAGGATCCACCCGACTAGATGGGTCTGGGCTTAAGCCATATAAGCCCAGCACCTGAGCCTTGAAGGTAGAAGTGCCTGGCAAGATAGCAGCAAGGCTCCTGAACAGACAGTGAAACTGGGTAAGATGCTTTGTATTTTGGTTGCACTGGTGGTTTATCCTTGAGCCTCAGAGGGTGACTTGTGGCAGACTTAAAGAACCGGTAACCTAGGAAGACCCTGAGGGACCAGGAGCTCAGGTAGGAGCTTCTTGGGGAGATACTGAGGGTCCAGGAGCTCAGGACAGGGTCAAGGTCCAGGAGGGACTGTAGCTGGGGACTGCCAGAGACAGTGAGCCTGGTGATCTCGACTGGCCAAGACTGTGGTCAGGGCCCAGGAAGGGCCACAGGTTCAGGGAGTCACTGCTGGAACCTGAAGTCAAGGAGGCTGGAGCCTAGAAGCCAGGTCCATGGACCTGTGCTAAGAGGGTCCAGCAAGAGCAGGAGGGGAGGATGCCAACAAGGCCTCAGCCTCACCCTGCAATACAGTGATGGTGATAGTACAGTCACATCTGCAATGCTTGGGGTGTGGTGTAGGGGCGGAACAGAGCCATTCAATTAGCCTTTAAGGCTACAGGTGCCCTGCAGAGGCATAGGCAGGCTGAGAGGTCCTATTGAGCCTAAGCATGCAGTTGAGACTAGTGGGATGCAGGGGACCCCCATTAGAGGTTTAGCAGGACTGGGGCTCACCCTAATGCCCAGAGGCAGCCTCCCTTATTCAATCTTTAACAAGATCAAGACGTGGCAGGAAAGCAATTGAGGGAGGGCAATATTAGAGTGAGAGCCAAGCAGGAGCTTCATGGCTACCAGGGGCATGACAGCCACCCCTGGGGCTCAGACCTTGTCACACAGGGCTAGTGTCCAGCTATAATACAATTTGGAAGACATGTCATCGTCCCTTTTTATCCTTCTAACATGAGCCAGAGACATCAAAACCCCCTGAGCTCTTGTGGTTACTACAACATTTTTCATGTTGCCTTGAACTGTTGAACACATCCATGCTCCTTCCCCAGGATGGCAGCAAGTCAGCACTGGGTGAAGTGGCTCTGCTCTTCTGCTTGTATTTGACCATCTAAGACCATGATGCTCAGCCTTCCTACCCCGTGAACCAGATGGGTGGCACAGGGCCAGTCTCCGGGCCAGATCCAGCATGGGGTCAGCATGCAGGGTCAGCCCATGTGCATAGCAAGCCTACCCAGCCCTTCACGCCAGATCCAGCTGTGTGTGCTAGCCCGAGTCCACATGCCTGTCGCAACAGGATGTAAGTGGCTAGGTCTGGGACCACTGGGGAATCAAAGCACCAGCTAGAGCTAGGCTGGGTAAATAGGATCTGAAGTCAAAGCCAGGAGTTCAACCCAAGATAAAAATCCAAGGCAGGAAGCCAGGACGTCAAACAGAGAGTAAAGTCAAGGAGCAAGCCAGAGGGAGTAACATGACAATCTTAAATCAAGTTCCCCAAATGCTTTTTGTTCCAGGCCAGGGATTTATATATGGGGGAAGTAGAGGGTCAGCTGACCCCAGCCAGCCAGTCCTGTGACAGGGACTAGGTGGAGGTTAGACCCTACTGAAGGTTTCCACAGTAGCGTTGACAGCACTAGAGGGCTAGCCATGGGCTGACAGGCCAAGACCAGCAGCTGTGCTGTCAGGTCAAGAATCTAGGTTCAAGGCTGCAGCCTGACGGTACCTAGATTATGCACTGGCTTGACTCCCCTGTGCTGGATTTGGCCACAGAGTGACCCTGCGTGGTGGATCTCACCACAGAGTGATCCTGTGTGCCAGTGTGATCTTGCATGCTGGGCTATGCTGTTTGGCCTATGGGGCTTCCCCATAGGTCCAGAAGTTTGGCAGCAAGGGAGTGGCAATTGATACTACCCCTGCTACCACATTTCCAGACCAGTGGGAGACCCTCAGGTCAGATGTCAGAAGTTGGGTACCACTGGTCTAAAAGGAAACTTTCATGAAGACATGTGGAAAAACCCAGACTGGGCCCTAAAGACTAACTCCTATTTCACTTTATGCAGTGATAAGGCAGTTACACAAATACAAAGTTGCAGGTTTAGCCACGTACCTGCCATTTTGGATTCTGTTCTGCCACGGAGCGAAGCAGAATCTGCCTGTGTGTGGACCTGCTGGGAGCAAAATGGAGGAGACCTGCTCATACTTTAGCCCTTGTGTCTCGGGGTTAGGAGTACATGCTCAGGGGGCAGGAGAGCT